CCGCTTTCCCTACGTCCGTGGCTCTTCCTGTTCGGTGTCCTTTCTCGGCTCGTCTTCACCTGCTTGTCCCTTCAATGTCAGCGACCCTTGGAGCTGGCCCCTTGGCTTTCTTCTGTCCCCACGCCGTCTGATCTCTGTCTGTACAGTCTAGATGCTGGGGTTTTCCTGCCTCGCTCTCCAGCCTCACCCTCCCCTCTGAGCCATTCATCCAGTGATTGTTGAGCTACCCTTGTGTGCCGGGCATCGTTCCAAGTGTTGGGATACAGAGTTGAACGAGGCATCGCGTTTTCTTGAGGAAGGCAGACTGTAGCCTTGTAAGTAATTTCAGACAGCATTTATTACTAGGAAGACACTAGGCGCTGGCAGAGACGGAGTAGCCCTGAGGTCTTAGTGAAGCTCAGGTCTGGTTGAACTGTCTCCCTGCGGAGTGGAGCTTCCTTTCTCGGCCGCTTGGTGTCCTCAGAGTGCAGTCCAGCTCCTTTGACTTTGTTTGCCCCCAGTGGCCTCTCCATTCTCACTTCCAGCCACTCCCCACTCCCCCCTTACATGGTCAGCCTCAGGCAGACTGGACTGTGTACAGGGCTGAGCATCAGTGTTTCATGTTCTGTTGCTTCTAATTTCTGGCATGAGTTTTCTGTTTGGTGTCATATTCCTTTTCTTCCTCACTCCCTGACTGCTTTGTTCTTCAGACCTGAGCTGAGACGTCACCTCTGGGAAACCTTTCATGACACGTGCAGGGTTGGGCTAATAAATCCACCAGTCCCCATCCGTCTTATTTTAGTACAACTGAAGTTCTGTGTTACCTTCAGTGTTTCACCTCAGTGTCTAGCTGGCACGTAAGGCACGTGCAGACATTTAAATATTAAGTAAGAATTGTATTCATTAAAGTTAAGGAATAAATGTTCTAAATGAAAAGAAACTTATATCAGTTACACATACATTTTTGATCTAAATTATAGGAGAGCTATGCCATTTTTGGGCCAGGACTGGAGATCTCCTGGATGGAGCTGGATTAAAACAGAAGACGGCTGGAAGAGATGTGAACCCTGGCGTGAGGGACTTGAAGGAGAGAATAACCGGTGTGGCGCCAGCCACGGCACGTGAGTCGCAGCTCAGCAGAGCCACACCGTCCCCGCCTGACTCTTACGGCTTCACCTGTTGGAGCCCATGACTTACCGCTTGGCTGAGAGTCCCCCCCCGCACCTGCACAAGGCTGGTGTAAGGAAACAAGTTACTAGCCAAAGTCTGAGCCTGGTAGATCGCCTAGTGCCCACACACAGATGCTGCCGTCTTCTTTTTAATTTGAAGCGTTTAACCCTTACAGTAGTCCGAGAGATAGGTATTATTCTTATTAACCTCCCATTACAGCTGAGGAACCTGAAGGAATTAAAAGATGTAGTTTTGGCGGCCTGTGTCAGAGGCCCATGGTGACAGTGGCTTGCGTGAGACAGGAGTATAGTCTTCTCTGTCAGAGGCGTGAGTTGGTGAGGTGGCCTTTAGCTCTGCCATCCCCAGAGGGTAGCCTCGTCGGCGGGGTTAAGGGTGGAGTTCTGCCCCCACCTCCGCGTTGCGCTTGGCACGGTAGAGGAGGAGGGTACCTGTGCCACACCTCACTGGCTGGAGTGGGAGCTGCAGGGCAGGCTGGGGGTTGTGGTCTTTCTCCAGATGAAAGTGAGAGATTGCATGGATGCAGGAGCAGGCCCGCGTGGCCGTGGTGTGCTCACCCGCAATCCCCGTCGCAAGTGTATTTGAGCATTTGGAGGATTGGGGAGGTCTGCAGACCTCTTCTCCAAAGTGTCACGCGTCTAGTCATCCATTTTACTGCATGTGTTTATCTCACATTTGCGTAACTATCAACTGTGTATTTCGAACTGACAGGTCATCTGTTTTTCTGATAGGAGTTTGGTACCTTTAGACTGGAGATTGGGGTTTGCGGTATTTAAAGCAGAAATTAATTTTATATTTAAGATTATAGGAAGGATAACATACAGTGTTCGTTGAATTTATATTGCGGCATTTCTCTGCCATTCTGAATTCTAAAATGTCAGTTTAAAAACAAGCTGTAATGCGTGAAATGGAATGTTCCTGTTACTTCTACACTAAGGAATCTGCGTGTGTGTTTCCCTCATGTATGTTCTTTATTTCCCCTCGTTCCAAACATGTTGTGAATATTGAAGAATACTTTTTTCTCGTATATGCATAGAATTAGAGAAATACATCAAGACCTGTTTTCTTTGCATGATAAACTCCATGTTCTCCTGTCTCCCTTCCCCACTTCTCCGCAGACACTTGCACTCACCTACTTCTATTCACACTTATTTGAAAATCCTTTGAAATACAAGTGGTGCTGGCAGAGGCCTCTCTGTGTGGGTGTCCTCACAGGGACAGAGGCTGTGTCACAGCAGCCGTGGACTCTCCACGGGTGAAGACACCTTGCTCCCATCCAGGTGCCTCGCAAGTCTGGGTGCCTTCTCCTTATACAAATGGTATATGTAATTACCAACCTTACGTAAACTTTACAAACAGGATGGGACCGTGGGCAGCTCACTCACTCCCTGCCAGAGAACATGGTGGGACCGTTGTAAATGAATTGTTCTCAGACCCTTGCAGTTGGACTTTTAGTTTTCATCTTTATTAAGTTCATCCTGAATCTTTATCAGCTTCATCCAGAGCACACAAAGATGTGTGGATCAGAGATGTTTTTATTAATTACCTTCTGTGAACGGAAAGAGTGTTGGTCTTCCCAACCCAGTGCTTACTCCAGACCCTTCACAGTGAGGGACCGGGAGAAGGTGACTTTGCTTTGCTTGTCCACAGAAAGGATGTGGCTGTCCCCTCCCCTCCAGAGGGGGCTCCTGGGAAACAGAAGGAGCCTGAGTCCTGCCTGTGCTCCTTTGGTGTGTAGATAAATCCCTCCATGAGCCAGACCTGAGATGCCTCTGGTTTTGTGATTACACATGCTGTTGTATGTGCTCAGTCTATACCGTATGTCAGGCATTTACTGTGTATTCCCAGTGCTGGGATCCAGCAGTAAACAGAAAGAGGCAAAACCCGTGCCTGGAGGAGCTTGCATTCTAGTGGGACAGTCAGATGAAGAACAAAAGGAGCTCCATGTGGTCTGTTCCATGTTGTAAGTGCTGTGAAGGAAAAAACCTGGGGTGGGAGGGAAGACCGTTGGGGTGGGGGTGGTACGTGGAAGTGTCGCGGGGGGGCCTCTCTGAGAAGGGTCAGCTGAGTGACACCTTGGGCACCGAGAGGGCAGCCCAGGTGGGGAAGGGAGAGCAGAGACCCCAAGGCAGGTGTCATGAACTCGGGAGCAGCGGGGACAGCGAGATGGGTGGGATGAGGGGCAGCAGGGGACCAGATTCCAGCGTGGCCATGGCTGGTCCTGAAGGGCCAGCTGGGTTTTCTCAGAGCTAGACGGGGGGGTCAGCGGTTTGGAGCAGAAAGAGGGGGCTTTTGTTCAGGTTTGTGTTTTAACAGGCTCCTTCTGGCTTTTGTGTTGGAAATGGGCTGCAGAGACGTGAGGCAGAGCAGATAGACTCATTCCTAAGAGCCTGTGTAATGACCAAGTGAGAAATGACTGTGGCTCAGAGAGGATGGAGGTGGTGGGTGATGAGAAGTACTCAGATTGAGATGTTTTGCAAGTGGAGCTGGTAGGTTGCTGAGAGGCGGAGTGGGTGGGCAGTGAGGGGGGCGTCAGCAAAGGCAGGCAGGTGTTCAGCCTGCGCAGCTGGGAGGGTGGCCGTTCATCTGATGACAGTGGAGTCTGACCGTGTACCTTCCCGTGCACGCGCGAGATCCTCAGGGCTCGTGCCCGGGAGTGGAGCTGCTAGGTCACGGGCAGGCCCACCTTCCGTTTTCCAATGAGGTGGTATCTATTTCTGCTCCTGCTGTCAGTGCATGTTCGTCTGACCACACTGCTCATCCTTTTTTCCCATTTATTTCTTGGAAATAAAACTGGGCAGAGAAGCATAAGCTCAACATCATTAGTCAGCAGGGAAGTGCAGGCAGTCTGGGAAGACACACGTCGCAGCGAGCCTGAGATCACAGTGCAATGAGGGGTCAGCAGCAGACCAGCTAGAAACGTAACGGAAGTTCCAGGGGAGTGAGACAGCCGACGTGGCCTAGACAAAAGTGTGGAGAAAGTGTTCACCTTCCAGATAAGGTGCCATGACACACCTACCACAGCGGCCACAGTTAACAAACAACAGAATGTTACAGGTGCTGGTGAGGGCAGTGCCAAGTGCTGGCAAGAATGTCCTCTCGTAAGCTTGATGGGAGTGTAGAATGGCACAGCCACTTTGCTGACTAGTGTGGTACTTTCTTATTAAGTTAAACATATAGCTGCCATATGACCCAGCATCCCAGTCCTAGGTATTTACCCAAGGAAAATGGAAGTTTATGTTTACACAATACCTGTATGTTAACGTTAATAGCAGCTTTTTTCCAGTAATTGCCAAAGCTTGGGCATCACCCATGCTGTTCAGCTCTCCAGGGGAGGGCCACTCAGGAGTGAAAGGAACGAACCGTTGATTGACACATGATGAATCTTAATTTCATCTTGCTTAGTGAGAAAAACTAAACCCAAGAGGCTTCATATTGTTTGATTCCATTTATATGGCCTTCTGGAAAAAGAAAAGCTATAGGGACAAAGGGGTGAAAAACAGACCAGTGGATGCGAGGGGTCTAGAGGTAGGGGAAGGAGTTGATTACACAGATGGCAGGAGGCTTTTTGGGGAGTGGTAGAGCTGCCCTGTAGGGAAGGCGCCGGTCCCTTTATGACTCTGCGTTCGTCAAAACCCATAGGGTTGTGCAGCACGAAAAGCAAATTTTGCTCTGTGTAAATCTTAAAAAAAAAAAACCAACCAGGATGTGTGTGACGGGGAGCTGGTCACCCAAATGATCTAAACTGTGACAGATGGATGTGATTGTGTTACGGATGAACCCCATAACCACACTGAGGTGGGTGTGGAAGAAAGGAGCTGATCTGGGAACTTGGGAAAACCATGTTGACAGGGTATTGACAGGCTATAGACAGACACTCTAGGTGGTAAATGTGCTTCTCATGCCCCAGGGTGTGGGTTAGCAATTCTGAAACTACTTTATTATGTATACTAGGGTTAAGCGAGTGAGTGAATAAAATGCAGATAACGACAGCCAGATCTCTCACTTTGGAGAAGGAAGTCACAGAGTCATGCTAGACTGTACCTTGTGGTGCTGGATTGTTGGTGGTGGTGTCAGTGTGTACTCAGGCGGTTGTTGCTCTTGTGGGTGGGTGGACAGGGATCGGTGTGTAGGTGAGTTAATATAACATGTTCCCCAGTTCTGTCTACTGGGAGGCCAAGAGTGGTGGTGCCCCAGTAGCAATGAGCAGACTGAACACCAAGATCTTGGTTTTGAAGGGTTCCTGGGGAAGTGGTTGATTCCAGAGCTGGGGTAGGGAAATATAAGCTGAGCCTAGAGCATCTTGTGGTGTCCAAAAGTAAGGAAATACGTTAAAAAGCAGGGGGGGATGGGAATATGTCAGATGTCAAAAGGGCAGAGGCCAACCTGAAAGCAGTCCAGTGGCCAAAGCTGGAGCCATTTGAGCAAAAAGCAAATAATGGTGGTATTGGATTATAACTCAAAGGAGAAGATAAATACCCCTGAGTTTATGGGATATAACACATGAATAAGTGGGGAAGAAGGGACAGCTCTTCCTGACAGAATAATTCCAGTTAGTGAATGTGGAAGGAATAGGGAAATAGAATGTCACCATTAGGACACCACAGTAATGATGGCTGCAGGCAGAGTCCACTGATAGATGCTGAGATTAGTGGGTGAGATGTTAAGGAAGAACAATATTTGCAAAGCGTCCTCCAAAATATCTATGAATTCACAAAGGGAAAACAGTAGCTTTATAGTTGAGAACCCTGGCAGATCCCTCCTTAACCGAGTGATCGAGGTGACATGACCAGGAGCAAGACACAGGGGCAGCGTGTACCCTGATCGCATAGGTCCGGATGGGGTCCTGGAACAGCAAAGGGCACCAGTGGGAGGCTGGCGAGACACAGGTCTGTGGGCGAGTCAGCGGTACCGTGCCAGCATCCACTCCTGG